CAGATTTTCACGAAATTATATATTTTGACATGACAATTGTTTCGACAACACCGTGTCTTTATCAAATGTCATTTTAGTTCTTATTTATTGTAATTTTTAAGTTTTTATTTTAAGTTTACGATTTTACGAAATCAGAAGAGTTTAAACATGCTTTTTTGCTTAAGGTTGAGTACAATTGGAGGTTAACAAGGATGTTAACTAATGCAAGCAAAAAGGAAAGAATTTTATTTTTATTTTTGAAATAGATAACTTTTTATCATATAGCTCTTTTTGTACGTAAGTACTAAGAATAGAAAAAAAACTCGTTTCTGAAAATCTGTATCTTTTGTTTAAATTTCACACCAGCTAAACATTATCTTTTATTATATTGCGTTTTAATTATCATGTTTAATTATTTGTTTCATTCAGTATCTTTCAGCATTTTCAGAGCCTCGATCAAAGCAATATTGTCTTCCATACAATCTATCCAGGTTCAATTTTATTCCAATAATAGTTGTAGACTTTATTTCCAGTAGTAGTACTTGAAGATCCTGCGGTAAATCGGATAGCAAAATACTATATCAGGTGGTGGTCCTTAAAATATGGACGTTATTTTAGGGACTCTCACCCAAGTTTTTTTATAATGATGATCCATTTTCCACCATTCGGCGGTTTCATCTTCAAAGGGTTGATAATATAGCTAAATACAGCTTTCGGTCGTGGGTGTTGCATTGACCTGAGTAAAGCTGACCTTGCACTCAGCGCACGTATACTACTTGAGCGGCATTATCATTAAGATCTACTAAATCTAATGACACAAAATAACCGGTCAAATATTCCTATCTAATACGAAACCAATGACTTGTTTCCCTCGGGATGGCCTTTTCTCAGCGAGAGACCTACAAGCTGGAGGCTACCGCGCAAGACAAAGGCTACCCTCCCCTCTCCCGATCCGTCGAGGTGCAGATTGACGTTGTAGACCGGGCAAACAATCCGCCCGTGTGGGATCACGTGGTCTACGGGCCTATCTACATTAGGGAGAATTTCCCAGTTGGCGCCAAAGTGGTTTCCGTTAAGGCCAGGTCTGTCGGGAGCTAAAGAATCGACGAACTAAGAGAGAGAAAGAGACAGACAGATATTCTTTGCAAATTTACAATAGTTCTTTATTTTATTTTTCCTGATATTTTTATTGGACTTTGGTAAAACGTAATGTCTAGATTTTTACATGTAGGTTATTGTAGGCGGCCACCATATCAGCCTTCCGTTACGATCAGTTGACTACTTTCGAGGTTGAGAGCTTATTAAACTGCGTTATAATCACCCTAATATAGGTGTAAAGTTTAAAATGCTTTAAAATTATGGAAAACTTGAAAAAAATTCTAAAGAAATCATAAAAGCTCTACTGCAATTGAGATCTTTAAGCGTCAATACAACAAATAAGAAGTAGTACCTTATAACAATAAATAAAATATTGGCTTTCCAAAATGAATGTTATTAGGTAGTAATTCTTCTGGATACAGTGAATGTAGAAAATAAACTGAAAATTGAAACTTATACTTAATATAACATATATTTCGGAATTGATAGAAAACTGGGCATTTTACGGGGACTATTTCGTTTCAAATGGGTGTGGCATTGTAATCTTTATGGAATATTAATAAATCCTATTCTATTGCCTTATACCACGTTTTAAACAAAATAAGGAAAATGGTTATAGTATATATACAGGGTTTTATTCAAATGATAAGGAATAATTTAACGAGCGAATTTTAAGCCTCTTGCTGATGTGGAATCGATATTTTGTTGGGTCCAATTCTGGTAAAAAGGGGCTACTTTTTTGCAATTTTACACGACCAGATCACAGGATAGCGGGCAACCAAGATACCTACCGATACAATCAAATGTTGCCAAATGATCGGAAAATGTTGGGTTTCAATATTTCATGTAAATTTTGAGTTACAAAATATATAACAAACTGCACCTGCACTAAGTTCAGCCGACTTCTAATAAATTAGTAACAACATCAGAGTGACGTCAGAAACGTTATCATTTATATCCGTTTTTAACAAAATGAAATTTGTTGTTAAACTTTATTGTAAATTTCGCTAATATGTAAATTAATAAAAAAGTTAATCTGTTTAAAAATCCACACATTGGTACTTTTTAGGCTTTTAGAATGGGCTAAAAATCTCATTCAACAATTAATGTTTGAATGCAAATTTCTCCTTTTTGGCATTTTTACACGGTGCTTTACTAAAGTCCAAAAAAAATAAAAGTGTCAATGTCTCCGCGCGACAGCACGCAGCGTCGCGCGGTTCAGTTCAAACATGCACGCTTTTATTTACCAACAGGTTTATACTTGGGGCCCGCACGTGCCTCTCTTGAACGTAGGACATGTCCGTCCCAGGGTTCTCTCGTTATTTGTTCACACCTTGAGATCCTAAACATGCAGAAATATTTAGAACCAGTTTCACGTTATTATCTTAAGATTAGGGGACAGCGTGTATTTTTACGATTTACAAAACGCCAAAAAGTTTTGTAAATAGTATTACAGTAGCCTGTGGAACTTTCTTCCCTCTTTTATAAATTAGATTCTGCATTGCCATCTTGCAAATAAAATCCCAACTCCAGAGCAAGTTTTAAAAAATCAACGCAGACGTTAAAAAGCTATTAAAAGCTGAAATTTTGAATAGGTCTAAAGGACCTTTCTTTTCATTTAAACACAATCCTTTATTGTTAAGTTTTGTTAAGTCTTTGTTGACACTAATGTGTGGTTAATTCAACCACAGTTTACGTCGTTTGTGAAACTAGTTCTAAGTTTTCTATCAAATCGTTTTAATGATTAAAACGAAAACAATGTTCAGTTAACATACATTTATATAGGGGTCAAGCCCATAAAGAACTCTGAGACGCGACTTAAGCTCATCAGTCGTTTGGAAAAATTCTGGAAGCCCTACTTACGTCATCGTCCCGTAGATTTTTGTGTGTGAAATCATAAACCTGAAACCTGTTTCACTGAATGTCGTTGATATTGCACCACGACACGCTACTAAACAACACCAGGCTTTCGGCGTCGGATAACAGCACATTTCAAAGACATTCGGTGAATCCTTCGTGCGGATCTGATGTACATTAACCCCGAAATACATCAATTGTGGTTTTTTCAAGAGGATGTTGGTCCAAGTAATTTCGCTTAGCATTGTATTTGTTATCTGTGGTAATAAAATTTGAAAATTTCGGTACATTGGGAATGTAAATTTCAATTAGCGTGAAGAATGCATAAAGCCCCGTTTTATTTTTGTTATTTTCCATGGGAGATATCCAGTTAAAGTTTTGCAAAAGTGATGGACCAAATGTTTACTATTTTTTAAGTTATTATAATAACGTCAATATTCTAGGTGCCGCTGCGGCTCTGACTAACGCAATATGTTATATTAGTTATGACGTTGCATCGGCCCTTTAGGTGGTCAGCTGTCAAACAAACCTATTTGACAAGATTTTTTGCGGGAGTTTCAGTTTTTCTATACTTGTTAAGTCCTTCAATTTTATTGAAAATGAATATATAAACCTAGGTATTATTTATCTATCTTATTGTTTATTGTAGGATTGGTTGTCGTCTCTTCAAAAATTTGCGATTTGAATGTAGTACTATTGGGGTTATTAATATTGGCAGGTTATATTTTAATTTTTGGTATTGATTTTAAATAAAATACTGTAATTCGTTGTTTAATTTTTAATTATAACAATAATTAAACAATAATTGAATAGTACACTATTAATAAATTATCATGAATAGTATTCAATAATTAAAAATCACACAAAAATTGAAACAACCATATTTCGGTCAAACTTCGACTGTACTATGTCACGCTAATATAACGTTCGAAACGAAATGGGAATTATATTACCTAGAAAATATCATTTTCAAAATTAAAAACTGCTTAAAACTTCTTAAAAATATTTTACCTTCCGAATGAGCTCCATTTCGACTCCCCGTCAAGCGCCACCTACCATATTGACATCAAAATAATCTAATAAAATTGTAAACACTTTGGTTATCATATTCCCAAAACTCAATAGTAGGTTCAAAAAAGAGATATTTTTTATATTATGTACCTCTTACTATCAATAAATATTACTTAATTTTGCCATCTATCTGCAGAAGTTCATTTTAAACTTTTGTTAATGCAATTTTTTTTATTTATATAATTTAACCATGTGCATTTGCCATTTAGCAGTACTAATAAAATTACTTGGACTTAGCATCTGGTTACTCAAAATTTCCACGAGATGGGCGCTTGTTTTTTTTCCAAATTCCCATTCCACAATAATACAATATTTTAGTTACTTCTCGCTCGCAGGCAAAAGGATTCTCCACATTTTCAGTTTTGTGGTATCGATTTTTGTTCCGAGTTTTCGGCTGTTCTCTTCTCCGGCAGATGTCGCTCAGATCATTACATCGACATTTAGGAATCAAAACTTCTCTACAGTTTCTATCCGAAATATACGTCGTATATTTAGCGAAATTAAAATGGATCAACCCAAAAACAGGACATTTGGCATCTCGTAACCTTTTTGCATGATCGTCTGTAGACAATATTTCTAGACGAATCAGTTTTTCTCAATTAAAAAAATAGATTGATGCCAATGTCCTGGCTAGATTAGAAAACTTCGATGGTGCATGTTTGTTTTTTGGTGTTTGAGCCACAGAATAGATTTCTCTTACTTTGCGCGTATTTGTAACTCTCAGGAATTTTGAAATCTGGATTTGTATTGCACCCAAAATTTTCTGAGACTCTCTTGTTCGAGGGAAACATCATTTTTAACCTGTGGCTCGTGACACGGTAAACCATTTTTGCATGTGGCTATATATATTTTTGTCGGCCATGTATTTTTGAACGCGCTTTTTGACCGTAACGGGATGATAGTTTTTTTTTGAGGCTAGGGCGAGTGGCGCGATTTTTTTTGGCGCTCGCCTTGGGTTATGAACAAAACTTTTGCATTTTTCTCTTACTCTTTAGCTCCGGGATCGAAAACAACCCGACGGTCTTCTACAGACTCATGCCGGGATCCACAGCCCAGACCAACAAGTATCACACATTTTATCTTCAACAACGACCTGACAATGGATTTACCTGGGCTGATATCAAGGTCAATCATCCGCTGGACTACGAGACTATTAAGGAATATAATTTGACTATACGAGTAGAGGTAAATTTAATTCATTGCCATTTTTAAAAGGTGAAAGTAAAATATATATGATTATTATTATGTATTTTTGTTTGTAAATGTCATATTTTTAAATTTAATACTTGATAAACGTAGTTTTTGGTGTTCGAACGTTCTAATTAAATACCTAAACTTTATGCACACATATAATAACTCGTTGGCGTATAAGGAAATACAAGGAAAATCCATCATCTCAAAACTACTGGAGCGCTGTATCAGAATCCAGTATTATATTGTATTAATTTTTGGGAGACCTGCTCATCGCCTATATGAAATCATTAGGCTTGCCATTAAGGACCATTTCTGAATGAGTTTTTCTGAACAAAAAGAACAAAAGACTCCGCAAGAAATCGCTTCTTGAAAATTTTTGCCACTACCGATGTTTTGTATCCCATAGTTTTGTAAAAGTGGTTTTCCTTATAGAAGTGGTTTTACTAAATATATTTTTACACTTTTTATCGTCATTTTTTTTGGTTTGTTTATGAAAACAAAAGCTCACGCCCAAATTGTAAATTACATTGTGCTTAAAATACGTCCTTATCTTATCCGCTAAATTTCATGCAGTTTAGTAGTCGACAAATTGCAATATTTTCATGAAGAAATACATATATAAATTTTTATTGTGTCTTGCCAGAAAACATTTTTACATTAGAAATATTATAAAAATAATGATGGAGGCTAGTATTTAAGGTTATCGGGAAGTGATAAGGATGCTATCAGATGCTTGATTTTTTTTATTTATGTATTTGACCATTTATACATTTTATTTTCTTAATCTAATAAAACTCGAAATTTTTTTAGAACAATGGCGCTCAACAACTAGCTTCTGAAGCCACAGTTTACATTCAGCTTGAGGATGTTAATGACGAAATTCCACTATTTACCGAAAGAGAACAAGAAACCGTGCTGGAAGGTGAACCAATTGGCACCAAAGTAACCCAGGTCAATGCTATAGATAAAGATGGAACGTTCCCGAATAACCAGGTAAGTTTGGCAAATTATCGCAATTTACAATTTTCTAACATCAAATGGAAGCGAAACACATTATTCTTACAGTGAATAGCTTTTTATAATAATAATAATTTTATAATAAATTGTTTCGTAGAAAATTAAGTACAGGTTGTACCACCAGGCACTGATAGGCCCCTTTTTATAAGCTTGTTGTTTTGGCAGCGATAAACATTCGATATAATCCATTAAAAGAAATATGGGGAGATAAAAGGAAATCTCTGTTCAAGATAGAGATATAGCAAATCAGCTATTGGTAGACATTTTTATATAAAATTAAGGAGAACAGCCGAATGTGCACGTTAAAGAAAAAAATGTGAAAAGAGCAGGAAACTAAAGATGCGTGACTAAATAAAGGTGATTTAAAGGCAAGTAACGCGAGTATAAAGACGGCCGCAGAAAAATGAATATTACAATTGAAACAAGTTAAAAAAGACTTTCTGTTAAAAGTGCCAACGTTCGGGCTATCCTTAATGCAGATAGGAATAGAATTAACTAAAAGATCTCTGAGATATATAATTGTTCTGTGTTTCGGGACCGTTAGGAAAGCCGTATACCTCGTAAGCCTTTCATGAATATCTGAACCTCTATTTAACTTTTTTTTTTAACTAATACGAGGGATGTTGCTATTTATTATATAAAAAATCAGTGTATATACATGCAGTTCTGTCTCAGACCAACAGAATTGGTATATAATATATAATACTAATGGTATTCTGTTAATACGAAATATCGCATACAAAATTAATGGAATTCAATTCAAAGTTTGCAAGGGATATTTGGGTATTTTTTGGACAACGGCGGAGAATTTCATTTTCGAAGAAATTTCGGGGAAGTTTGAGCAAATTGGGGAATTACGGAATATTTCAAAGGAATTGTGGCGGTTTTTGCATAAAGGGAATTTCAGTGTACAAATATTTTGAGTATTCCTTGATTTAGAGTATGTCGGATTTTCTTTGGGTATATATAGTTCGTTCTATCTGTTAAGACGTCAGCAAATCGTAACACGTCTCATCGTTTTCCATTGAGTCGGTTTATTCAGCGTTCATCAGCGTTCTTACATATTAATGTCCTAGTTGCTTCTCGCAAGGCCCTATTTATACAGTCTTAAAGAGGAACGGCGACTGCATTAATAAGTAAAAACACAGTCTCAGCGTTGCCTCGTCTTACAAGGTAACGCCGGAATTAAGTAGGATTCGCTGTTTTTCTTTTAACGAAAGGGACGTTAATTTGCCGGGGGGGGGGGGGAGAGATTTTCATTTTAAACTTGTGTGGAAAACATTTCACGCCCGAGCGTAATGAGAAACTTCCCAAAGACTCTCTCTCTCCGACGGCGATATTGAACTTTCGACGTTTCATGTGTGGTTAAAGCATCCCGGAAGTATTACTGTGTGGTTAAATGTATCCGCGTGATTTGCCTTGTTTGCTGGAAAAGTTTCGTTTATTAACGAAGACAGCTGTAAAGCGGTTCCAGAATTAATGTAATATAATCTAATTAGGTATCTCATCACCCTCTACGTACAGAGCAATCCGTAAGTGATAGAAAACAAAGTGCGAATGCTGAAGTTTTCGTAAATGTCAAATTTTTGATTATGATAAAATAGAGTTTCTCGAAAAATTTAAAATTCTTCTCTACTTGAATGTATCTGGTTAAATGTACAGGGTGAGTGAACGATGGAGTAATGTCCGTCATGTCACTGGTTTCACAAGTTTCGAGAAAATGGTAAATATAAAAGTTAAAGTAAGTAAAAAAAGTAGTAAATAATATTAAATACTTATTACTACGAATTGTCTTATTTTTAATTATTATTATAGCGAAATAAATGTTCAAAAATATATACACCACTTTACATTTTTCATATTCAATACGACCCCTCTCATCAAACCGTTCCATTTAACACTGAAGAATTTGTATAGTTGGCAATGTACGTCTATTCGGGTACTTCGCCTTGTGGAGTCTTATTTTTATTTCTTTATTTATTTAAATTTGTCAATGACATTTTGTCAAAATTAATGTTATAGTAATAGGTTTAGAGAGATTTAGAAAATCGTAAAGTATTAAAAATAGTTGTATGACATACTAAATAAAAGTTGTAGGTTTTGGAAGATAATATATTGTGTTCCATTTAAGAAAATCGAGATTTTTCAATTCCAAATATAGTCCTTTAGTTTGAAACAACCTGTAGCATCTAATTCCAATTTGGTTGCATATAACTTTTACATCATCTTAGAATAACGCTAATATCAAATTTTAGTTATCTACCTAATAATGGCGCTATCGTAATTTCTTTGCAATACTGAAAAATAAAAATATAGGTTTATTAGGTGTGTAATATTATTAATAAAAAAGTTCAAAACATTTTAAAAACAATTTAAAAGGAAAATTTAAAAATATTGCGTTTTCTTTAAAAAAAATGTATTTATTATGCGTCATGCATATATATTTCACAATAATTTTGAATTATATATCCTAACTATCTTCACAAGCTTTGTCTTTCAACTTTTTAAATAAATGATATAATGAACTTTTCTCTATCGTTGATTCACCAGGTGTATAAGTGTATTTGTAATCTTTTTTGAAATGGTACTTCAGAAAAAACCATACTGCTGTTTTTAATTTCACGTATATCAATTTCTACAAACTTCTTTAAGTTGTTGGACGGGTTTATACATATTTTATTTTATATAATTCTTTAACGAAAATACCGTTTGTTCACCAAAAAGCAATGTGTAAATAATTTCAGTAAGGATATGTAAATAAAATCTGCACACATACAAGGAAAATAGACTGTCCTCAAATGTATTTAAACTAGCAAGGGAAAGACAACAAAATTTGCCTCGCATTTTTATCACGTCGCGTAGTTTAGTTCGAGCCCACTGAGTATTTCTTCTTCTTCTTCTTGTCAATATTTTGGCTTTGCAACTAGGCAGTCTGCCAGCTCATTAGGGGAGTCCTCAGCTTGACGAGCAGAGCTCCTGGGAACTCCTATCTACTTTTACTCTTAGATGTTTTATTTTATTTACTTTGCTCAATAAAGAGTAAATTATTCGGTAATAGAGGTATCTGTTAGTAATACAAACATATGGGGGGAAGAGGGCATAGAGGTTGGATTTGTTGGAGATAATGGATTCTGAAAATATTAATGATAGATATTACGTTACAGTTTAATTTTATTAAAGTTTAAAAAGGAAATTATGATATCTGTAATCTTTTTATTGGGTTTAATTAGAACAGCAGATATGTTAAGGCTTTGATGCCCAGCTTTATAAAAGAATTGTAGATATCAAGATCGGGTATCTCATTTATAGGGCAGGTCCTCAATCTTTCCACATTCGCAAAATGGGCTATCGTTTATACTTATTTTATAAAGGTGCTGTTTAGTAAGGCAGTGTCCTGTTCTCATCCTTGTAATAATGGTGACATGTCTTCTGTCTATATATTCTTGTCCGTCAAACCATTTTTTTTTAAATTCATTTTGAATATTAGCATAAGTCTTGCCCTTAAATTTTAATATATTTTTCCAATGTCTGTTGTGTTGATGAAGTATTTTTTGTTTTATGATATTAAGAATCTCATTTTTATCTAAGTCAATGGTTTTTGGAATATTTAGGCTTGTATATATACCTATCTGTATATACGAAGTGGAAAGTGTTTTTAAATTTTTCTGTGGAAAGATTGAATTTTTCTTTTATGTCAGGGTCAGATTTTTTTATATTTAAGTTTAATGTTTTTATAGGGGTTATTTGGTTAAAATAATCAAACTCAAAACAAGGCGGAATGAGATTTTTATAGATTTTATTCTGATACGGACTTAGATTTTCTAGAGCCTGGATGAGGTATGGGAGATTTTTCTGGTTGCCAAAACGGACTTCGTGAATATAAAACGTTCTTAGCTTTTTAAGGAGGGCTACTAAGGGATGATTCTTAATTGAAAAGGGACCCGCCAGAAATTTTGAGGCCAACCAGTTTCTTCTAAGCTCGAGGTTAATTTCTCCCGCTTCCGCTAATAACACGTTGGTAGGGGTTGATTTCATGCATCCTAAGAAAATTCTGAGACTGTCGTATTGTATCTTATTGAGTTTGGTTTTGTTTTTTTTGCTTGTATTACCAACAATAAAGGATGAAAAATCTATATGGGATTTTATTAAAGCATTATATAAAATTAACGAGATATGAGGATCAGACCCCCACCAAATTCTGTTAACACAATTATGTTTATATTCTTTTTGGCTTTTATTACTTGCTGATTGATATAATTATCCCATCTAAGTTGATGGTTAAAAATGACCCCTAAATATTTTACTTCATTTTTAAATGGAAGGGGGTGATTTCCTATTTTTACATGGGGAGGAGGAATTTTACGAGTACCCTTTGTGAACCAAACGCATTCGCATTTCTGAGGGGAGAGTTGAAGGTCGTTATTAAGTAACCATATGTTGATTGTGTTAAGAGCCTGATTAATTTTAGAAGCCATAGATATGATATTGTTCCCTTTTAAGAGTAAAGCCATGTCATCCGCATAACCTAGTAATATGAAACTTTCATCTAAGATATTAAAGAGATCTATAGTGTATATATTGAATAAAATTGTACTTAAAGGTGATCCTTGTGGTAATCCTGATGTGGAAAGGCCTGGACCAATGTAAGAACCATCATTTCTTTTTGTGTATAGGAGTCTGTTTTCCAGGATTCTAAAGAATAAATTGCTAAGCTCTTGTGGAATGTGTAATGAGTTTAATTTGTTATATAGCTTATATATGTTAACAGAGTCATCGGCCGATTTTATATCTAAGAATACTGCTAATACTGTTTCTTTTTGCTTAAAAGCTAGATCGATGAAAGATGATATAAATGCAATATTGATACAAATTCCCATTCCTTTTCTGAAGCCCTTCTGGAACCATTTAAATGATTTATTTTTTTCTAATAAC